TGTGTGGACAGTTAGATCCGGTACTGTGTGTGTATATGTGTGTGTATATGTGTGTGTGTGTGTGGACAGTTAGATCCGGTACTCTGTGTGTGTGTTGTGTATATGTGTGTGTATGTGTGTGGACAGTTAGATCCGGTACTGTGTGTGTATATGTGTGTGTATGTGTGTGTGTATATTGTGTGTGGACAGTTAGATCCGGTACTGTGTGTGTATATGTGTGTGTATATGTGTGTGTGTGTGTGGACAGTTAGATCCGGTACTCTGTGTGTGTGTTGTGTATATGTGTGTGTATGTGTGTGGACAGTTAGATCCGGTACTGTGTGTGTATATGTGTGTGTATGTGTGTGTGTATATTGTGTGTGGACAGTTAGATCCGGTACTGTGTGTGTATATGTGTGTGTATATATGTGTGTGTGTGGACAGTTAGATCCGGTACTCTGTGTGTGTATTTGTGTGTGTATATGTGTGTGTATATGTGTGTGTATATGTGTGTGTGGACAGTTAGATCCGGTACTATGTGTGTGTATATATGTGTGTGTATATTGTGTGTGGACAGTTAGATCCGGTACTCTGTGTGTGTATATGTGTGTGTATATGTGTGTGTGTGTGTGTGGACAGTTAGATCCGGTACTCCAACAAGACGCTGTACGAGTTGTCGTCCTTGTTGTAGTTCGCGTTGACCGTGACCTTGGCGTCCTTGCCCTTGTACCTGTCAAGGTCAGCCCGCCCCTCCCACTGGCCGTCCTTCTCCGATAGGTGGAACCACTCTTCCCCACAATGCACCGCCACCTTCTGGGCGCCCGGCACCCTCAGCTCAAACTGGACATCGTCCAGTCGCGGGGAGCCCTGGTGTAAGCTCCGGGGCCGCTCCAGCCAGCAACAGTCGGTGTAGAACTTGGTGTAGGTCTTCACGTAGCCCGTGGGCGGCTTGTAGTTGTCACTCACCTCCACCAGGTAGTTGTACACATTGGGCAGTGACTCCGACTCGCTGGACTCCTCCAGGGAAAAAATCTGGAACTTGTAGAAGCCGTTGTCAGGGAAAGCCACGTAGAAGGTGAGGGAGTCTTTGTCCTTCCTCTGGGTCAGCACAAACTGGGGCAGGTCTGTGTCCGTGGACACTTGGGTCAGCTTGGTCACCACCTGGGTAAACACAGACACAGACACATTAGTAGACACACACTGAACAGACGGAGAGAGCAGCTAAATGAACAGACACAGAGCCGTGGAACAACACACCTGTTTCTCTACAGCGAAAGATCTACGTGGAGGAATGAACATAGCCACAAGGGAAAGACAAGTCAAGGCACGCCAGTCCTCGCCTTCATGCCAACCTGTCACAGCTGGATGTTTGGCGGATTTTCTCACACATAAGTCTCTATGTTTAGCGGGTTTTCTCACACATAAGTCTCTATGGCGGGTTTTCTCACACATAAGTCTCTATGGCGGGTTTTCTCACACATAAGTCTCTATGGCGGGTTTTCTCACACATGTCTCTATATTTGGCGGGTTTTCTCACACATAAGTCTCTATGTTTGGCGTGTTTTCTCACTCATAAGTCTCTATGTTTGGCATGTTTTCTCTGACATAAGCCTACAAGACTTAAGGTTGCTCTGCAGACTTACAACTAACAAGAGTTAAAGTTGCTGGTCAGACTTACAACTAACAAGAGTTAAAGTTGCTGGTCAGACTTACAACTAACAAGAGTTAAAGTTGCTCTGCAGACTCTACAACTAACAAGAGTTAAAGTTGCTCGGCAGACTCTACAACTAACAAGAGTTAAAGTTGCTGGTCAGTGGTCAGACTTACAACTAACAAGAGTTAAAGTTGCTGGTCAGACTTACAACTAACAAGAGTTAAAGTTGCTCTGCAGACTCTACAACTAACAAGAGTTAAAGTTGCTCGGCAGACTCTACAACTAACAAGAGTTAAAGTTGCTGGTCAGTGGTCAGACTTACAACTAACAAGAGTTAAAGTTGCTGGTCAGACTTACAACTAACAAGAGCTAAAGTTGCTCGGCAGACTCTACAACTATCAAGAGTTAAGTATGCCAGCTGTGCCCGGCCAGATGAAGTTCTGGTACCGGATACTCGTGTCGGTTTCTGCCCAGCCCTCCCCACTTCAACCGACGAATGGGGAAACCTTGGAGTAACTATAAATAGTTCCTCCAAGGGGGAAACTATTAGAGCCGCATTTTTTGGCGATATCGATAAAATTGGATTGCCGATTCCACCCAACGGTGACAGCCCCCTTGACAAAGTAATTACTGTGTGTAGCCACTGTCCAAATATATTCGTGCTTTTGCTGACGTTAAGCAACTTCCAGACCATTTTTGAGCTGAAACGACAAACACAGACCACACAGAAGGTCACTACCAAGAAAGGAGGGAGAATGTAACTAGCAAATGTACGCAGACGACAAGTCTCACAGCTTCAATATCCTGAATGAGCAGGAAATGCTGTCCCAACACTTTATAGATCGCCCCTGTCCTGTAGATATGGTTTTATACCTGATAAGTCTGTTCATTCAAGACAAAATCTGATATCTGGTCCTAGGCCCAGTAAAACGTTAAGGATTCTTAAATTGTTTGATGACAGTGGTACTACCACTGGTAGGCTACTGGTTTTGGTGATCGGCAATCTAATTGTATAGATATCGTCAAAACGTGCGCGGCTTTGATGTTCTCCCGACGAATGAAATGATTGACTTTTTCTTCCGAAATTGTCGGTTTCTCTCCAAATGATTAAAAAGATAGATAGATAGATAGATAGATCTAGTGTTTGTGTGTGTGTGTGTGTGTGTGTGTGTGTGTGTGTGTGTGTGTGTGTGTGATATATATATAGAGAGAGTGTGTGTGTGATAGAGAGAGAGAGAGTGTGTGTGTGTACGTGTGTGTGTGTGGTTTATAAATCGCTGTGATCACCAGACAAGCCAGAATCACGTGAAATAAGTGAACAAACTCAGAGTAGCCTTGTGAGTGTAGGAGAATAAGGGAGCACGGGGGGTATAGAAACAGACGGCGAAGGTTAAACTGGCCTTCCGAGCCACGACTAAAACCTAGT